AGAAGAATAACATAAGACTGATAGGAATCCATGAAGTAGCAGGAGAAAATACAAATGACTTTAAAAAGCTGTTTGCAGAATTAATGACAGAAAACTTCCCAAACAGAGGGGAAGAATTTGACATTCAGATAACTGAGGCATATAGGACCCCAACTAGCTACAATCAAAAAAAATCTACACCTAGACATATAATAATCAAGATCTCAGAAACCCAACAGAAGAACAAAATACTACAAGCAGTAAGAGAAACAAATCACATACAAAGGAAAGCCCATCAGAATCACAGCAGACTTTTCAACGCAAACCCTTGGGGCAAGGAGAGCCTGGAATGAGATATTTCAAGTTCTAAAAGAGAACAACCTCCAATCTAGACTGATGTATCCAGCAAAACTCTCAAAATGGAGGGGGAAATAAGACACTTCCACGACAAAGAACACCTGAGAAACTACATGAATACCAAACCAGCACCACAAGGAATTCTAAACAAGATCCTAGAAAAAGACAATGAAGGCAACACCACCATGAGACCCAACAGAGCAAATCAAAATAGGCAAGGCAAGAAATTAAAAAGAGAAGGTGAAAAAGTAAAAAGAGTCAACAAAAGGCCAATAACATGTCAATAATAAGTCAGTACATATCAGTTATAACCAGCAATGTCAATGGCCTCAACTCACCGATCAAGAGAAATAGACTGGCAAAATGGAATAAGAAGCAAAATACAACAATATGTTGTATACAAGAAACACACCTAGTGCAAAAAGAAGCCCATAGACTGAAAGTGAAAAGATAGAAAACAATTCTCCATGTGACAGGAGCCCAGAAAAAAACAGGGGTAGCAATCTTATTTGCAGACAAAGTAAATTTCAAACCAAAACTGACTGCAGTATTATTGATGTAGGACGGTACTGTATCATACACCTCTATGAATGTAAAATATCTTGTACCTGCTTTATGATACATAGTAGGGACCATGCTTTATCAGAGCTACATTTAATGATATTACTCTAGAATATTATTCTTTTCTTTTGTTTTATTTTTAATGGAATGTGCTGAATGTCTATAATTTTGTTCAGATGACTGCAGAACCTGGAAAAGCTGTTGCTGCTATCGATATA